AGAGAGTCTTACTGTAGTTGATGATCAATGGTTGTTACTCAGGTGGAGTTCCTTGTCAATTGCTTTCCCCTGTAGGCGTGATGTAAGTATGTCTTTGTAATAAATAGTCGCATAATTGCAAAGGGTCTGTAGATCCTTAGCTATAGGGGAGTCAGAGTTAAAAGGGGGACACAGTTCACGCATAGGAACCGAGGAACCCCTGGGAAGGAGCTTTTGAAATGACTCCTTCGTTAGGCGATCGTGAACTGTGATCCATTTTATCTAAAAACGTTTTGCCAAGATTTAATATTTCTTCTTCTGCATCATATCCCATTCTGATATCAATTTAGTCCTCTCTATGCCCCAAATCACATTTGAGATGGGGTGTTGTGTCATTCTTTGTTCTGCATATTCTATTCTCTTCTGCAATGATTCTTCCTGTTTGTTTCGTTGGTAGGCCTTGATTCTTGAAAAGATTGAGAGCAGATTTGAAAACATACAAGAATCTGTTTTCCACCACTCAGACGTTGAGGCATACATATGTCTGGCTTCTTTCCAGCTGATCCAGTATTTCCTCATCCAATCGAGTAGACCCATATCTTCCAAGTTCTGTGTATTGAGTCGGAAGAGACCCCGTTCTCTAACCAGCTCTGATGTAAGGACTATTAGAATCACTGGTTTATGATCTGACAGCGGATGAGACTTTTCGGTAATCCCAATTACAGATTCTCATAGATTTGGTGAGGTTTAGAAGAAGTCCAACCTCTTGCATATCACACCCACATTCTCTATTGGGTTGGAGAACCAAGTAAAACCATCTTCATTGGGGTGGGATAATTTGTAGGGATCTATAAGTTCCAAGGTATCCATGAGTTTCATCAGAGAAACTTTATCTATAGGATAATCAGAGCCTTGAGTTGAGTTGGACATATCTAACGATGTATTTCAATCCCCCCCCAAAATAAGTTTGTTGCCTTCGGGAATAATACATAGCAAATCCTGAAAGAAGGAATTTTGAAGTCCAAGGTCCGTAGGGGCGTACACTGTAGCTATAATCCAGTATTGGTCGTTAATCAACAATTTTATCTATGCGACGGCCTCATAGGTCGGAGTAGTAATCAATAATTTCACAATCCAGATTTCTGTGAATTAAAATCTCTACCCTTCCTCTAGAGCCGATCGCCGGAGACCATATTTGGGGCCCATCCCACCAACTACCCAGTGAGTTAATTTTGTCTTCATTAAGTTTGATTTCCTGAATACAGGTAATCTGGATATTATTGGTGTGAATCAAGGACTTCAAGCGTTTTTTCTTAAAGTTTCCCGATGAATTCCCCATGCCCCGCAGATTCCAACTCAAAATTTTGACCTTACTCATGTTCTACTCGTTCCTCCCATCAACTGTTGGATATGAGGGGAGGAAGGAGAGGACACATCCGTGGACCACACACTAGTTAAATAGGTGCGAAGGAAAGGGGAGTCAAGTTTTTTATCCCGAGGCAGACGTGATTCCAAGTCTAGCAGACATTCCACGGATTTCAGACGAGGAATAAGAATGCAACGTAACTCCTGTCTCTTCCTTTATGAAAACCAAGAGATTGGAATCAAATGAAGACCTTCATTCTCAAGTTTTTCGAGCTGACCATCCTGAAAACGAACATCCAGGAGTGGAAAAAAAAATATAAATTTCCTTCCTCGTTGTTCTGGATGATCTACGAAAATACGGACCATAATAATTTCGGGAATGAGGCGAAAAACAAACTTATCATTGATAGCAGATCTCACCAGCACAGCCATCGAGGAGGGAATCGAGGTGTCCGGGGATGGAAGACTTACAAGGGTCAACGATCTATCCGGACCAGTGAAAGCAATCGTCCAAAAGGAATTACGAGCTGCGACACAAAAAAATGGTAAGATCTTGTTCACAATATCCTGCAGTTATTCCTTCACCAGGGAGACGGACACCCGTTTCCTTGATATTTTGGTACCTGGGGTACCTATTACCGAACCATTCATCCCTGAGTGTTGAGAAGAGGATGACGAGTGCTCACCTTCTAAGTTGCCCCCTTCCGAGACGAAACTTCCTTCTCTATCCAACCTACGCTAGTTATCTGGTGTGTCGTTTTTTCCTCTCAAAGTTCCTGGATCCATTACCGAGGAGGTCACAATGAACCGATCGAGCTCTTGGGAGGCACCGACGCCTGCTGTGGAGACTTCATGTATAAATCCTCCTTGATCAAATAATGGATGTGGAGACAGGGGCCAAATTGTTGGACCTGTCCCTCCCGCCGTGGAGATTGCACCACTCATCAATGTAGTTATGCCACCCACAACCATCGAGTTTCCCAAAAAGGGGACAAACGTCGATGGGTGTGTCATGCCATACTGAATTCCAAAGGGAATCGGCGACATATTCCATGGCGTCATTCCACCTTGAGACATGCCGTATGAAGCTTGTAAATATCCCAGGTGTGCTTGTAGTTCTGGAGAAAAAACTGGATTGAACTGATGTGAGAAGTTGGATGGAACAACTGCTTGACTAACTGCTACCGGCTGTGCTTGCATACTCATCACCGGGTGCGTTGACGCTTGGAGATGTAGGTCGATTTAAGGGACCCTGGTACTGTCTCCTCCTCGATGATTCTTGGCCACCAGCGTGTTGTTGAAGATTGCCTGGATCCGATGACGCCTCTTGATTCTGACGATTGTTGCACCGACATTCCATACCTGTATGGAAGAAGGCTCTGCAGCGTCTGCAGCGGGGCGTCTCCGCACGCGCAAGTTTGACCTCGAGAGAATCTCCTTCAGAGGTGTCAATCCAGAGTTTATTTTTCATGTTGTGCCGAGCTATTGGATCGATGTCAAACTTGATGTTTATGAGCGTAGGTCGCAGTCCTGTTCTGGAGGATGTGAACGAAGAACCGGTCCAATTGCTCATCGTACCTGTGCTTCCAAGTACAGGAATGCATCTAATGGTACTTGCACAGCGATCACTCAAAAGTTCTGATCATCCTCTTGTTGCCTCTATATCCGTAGCTGTGCGTTTGTTAGCCACGGCTTGGACTCGAACACGTAGTGTGACGAACCGATGGTCAACTTATCGCTCCCCTTGTTTACCAGTCACGTAGCGATTTCACGAGACTTAGCGATATAGGAAACCACATTAGGTGTTTCCATCTTGGTTCTGCCTCTGCAGAATGTTTGAGCGTCAAAGGAACCTTTAGACGTCTTCTTATCTTCATATGCACGAACGATGTCCTCCTTGACGTTCTTCGACAGGAACCTAGCACCTGCTCGGAAGATTACGGTAACCGTATGTTCTTTCAGCCAATTAATTTTGGCTTGATTGAGCGCTACGTTTACTTTGAATCTCACTGCCCTCCCATCTACCGTCATTTCACCAGGATCAATATCTGGTGGCATAATCCCCCCATCGTAGCACAACCTCATCAGCTCCCGAAGCCTATCGTCATCCTCTCTGGCCCCATATGGGACACGTGGAGGGGATCTTGCACCATTTTCCATGCCTTCATCCACACCTCTCTCAATCGAACCTACTGCTCATCTTTCTACTCCGGTCTCCGTCATTGCTGTCCTGTTATCTAATTTACGAATAAAAATTTTAAGAACCTAACATCCAGATCGGATTCTAGCAGTGAATTAACCGGCTAAACCTTTGTTCCTCGTAGACGTCTGTGAATTTACTGGAGCATGGTTAACCTACATGTCTTAACATCGAGTTACGGGTCCTCCCAGGTATTCAGTCGGGCCGCCTCCATAGTTACACGAAAGGTAGCTATGACCTACCTGAAGCGATAGGTGATGGCGTGCCGAAACTACTGCAGCGATATCACGGTGGTAGCGCCCGCAGCCGAATACTCCGTCGTTGCCGACAACGAAACTGCTTGGTCCGAGCGCACGAACGGCGCCGGCGGAAGCGTTCCGGTCGGACCCGACCTCGAATTGTCCCCGTTATGCAAAGTTGAAAGGGTCCCCGTCCACTTCCTTTGCAATAATATTTTCGGAACAGGGTACGGGCCCGTTGCTTTTTCGAAAATAGCAAAACGGAGCTCCCAGACTTCACGCCACGAACGTCACGTCCTAAGCCGTCTTCACAATCCATTCAAATCGGAGCCCCCGGGGTTCAAGGAAGCCGGTGGGATACCAAGAAAATGGATATTTTACTTACCGTAAGTATGGTGGGATGAGGCCCTTACTCACACTGCGACATGTGTACCCAAAAGCGCAAAACGAAACGCCGACGGTGGGTCACAGGGACTTAGGGTTAGATCCCATTTCTTATAGGAAGGGCACTTTTAGGCAAAATTTGGGATCCCATCCCGGAAAGTCGGGGAAGTGAAAACAGTTTCTTACGTGGTGGCACGCGCGTGATTGTAGGGTCGGTAGTTCTACCAATTTTAAAAAGAGGCCAACACCGTAGCGAAAAAGAAGGCAAGATTTTTTTTTCTTTTGTTTTTTGTTTTGGTCCTAACGGTAGTCCTGGAATGTCCGCCTTCGGTGTCCAGTGTGTGACGGCCGGCACGGTGCCGGCCCGGGGCCCCTAACGGTAAGCAGGCACCACATCTTGCCCCGAACCGGCCATAAGACACACACCCACGCCCTGGTACCGTTTACCCGGGTGGGGGTCTTCGGCGCTTCCATTACATAGCACACAACTTTTGTACCTTCGGCCGCAATCCCTTGCTATACGACGTGCTCTTTCGCTTTCTGTACCGTAAAGCACGTCGTCCGTTGCTCACGTGAACCTCCCGTCGAAGATCCCCACTCTGTCCATTTGCATATCAAGGCCACATCTGATCGGTGGGGTCGCGCTGCTGCCTTCAACTGCCACGTGTCTGCGCTTCGTACTCGAGGTATGGAGGCTACTTGTCTGCCTTTCCAACGTTGTTCGTCGTCCCCGTCCCCGTCCCCGTCCTTGGCTCCTGTTGAGACATGCATGTCCCGCCATCGACCCCTGCCACGTACTTCGCAAGTTATCATCCTTCGTCGCCTGTTGGAGGCGGGTCGTCTTCCTCCCGGCCCATCCCCTTTATGCCGCACGGTTTACCACCTCTGCCATCATTCAAGAATCTGCACACTTCGATGTACGGGTGGGGAGAGAGTCTCGGTCTATGACATCGCGCCTCGCTGAAGGTGACAGCTATGGACCGCAGCGAGGTGAAGAATCATATGGGATCAGTGTCGGCTATCAGGCGTGGGGAATGCCACGTGGAGGGCAGTGGCAACAACCACCGCAAGGCGCAGGGGCCAACGGGGAAGGAGAGTTGTCTGCGGGGGGGGCAACATCCTCTGCACGTACATCATACGTTGCTGGCGCTGCACCGAACATGCATGCGAGGGTGGCTGGAAACACGTCCACGAACTATTATTCAAAACCGCCTGCTGCGAACATGGTTGGAGGTCTGTCGCAGTCCATACCTTTGGATGCTGCATTTAGCAGTCATGATGGTCATCGTCTTCATGTGCACGATTCCGAAATCAATGTCCCAGAGCCTTCTCAAGTGGTTGCCGACCTCGGCGAGGATATGGACAAGCACGATGCTGGAATGGACGACACGTGGGCTGGTGCATCTGCCGACATAGCTGGTACGCAAAGCACGGGTAATGTAACAGTGGACCTTACCGATGATGGCAAAACGGATGACACGGCGGGTGGACATGTGAGGAAGAAGGGCAAAAGGGCAAGGGGGGGAGGGCATGGTGGAGATGATGCGGGGAAGGCCAAAGTCCGAGGTCCTGATTGGTCTTCAGCTGAGAGCGTCACACTGCTCAAACTGCTTTTTGAAGAAGACTGTATGCAGCAGAACAGGCAGGCAACAAATGAGAAGCAGGAAGGACAAGTACGCTTGGATTGTGAAGAAGCTTGTTGAGAAAGGATTTGTCGAGCGCACCGTGGACGAATGTGAGAGGAAGTACTACGGGCTCCTTGGCGGCGAGAAAAGGATTCGTGATTTTGGAAAGAAGTCTGTCTCGGCCTCTTACTGGACAACGTCACGGGATGTAAGAAAGGCGGCAGGACTTCCGCTGACATTCGAACGTGAGTTCTATGAAGCACTGCAATGGAAGCTTGCAAAAGCAGATGGTCACTATGATAGGCTGATGCAGAGTGTGAATATGGAAGGAGGGTCGTCGAGCACAGACATGGATGATGAAGACATGGGCGGTGGGGAGGACACAGGTGGTGTTCGCCGGAAAGCAGATAACGACAGTGGTGCCGCAGCGAAATTCACTCGAAGTGGTGGGCGTAGAGGGCACCTGAGACGTTCGTCGTCAGAGAGTTCTGTGGAGGGAGGGAGAGGAGGCACATTCGCAGATGTCGCCCACGCTCTCGTCGATGCCACCGACAGACAAACCGATAAGTTGCCTGGCAGTTTTGTGGACGCCATGGCTAGAATCAACATGACCATGGCAGATGGGAACAACACATTATTGCTGTGTTTTGCGATGTTGTCCGATTCGTTGGCGGGACAGCCCGCGTCTGCTCCGGCAACGACACACGGGGGTGGGGAGGGGGGTGGTTGAAGACAGCATGAAAAACATACAGTTGTTCCGAACAGATTTGCACCTTTTTTTTGCCGATTTGTCGGCTTGCCCTGTGAATGATGTGGTGCGAATTTATTTTTGTGTTTTTTTTTTCGTTCCCCCCCCCCCCCCCCCCCCCCCCGCCCCCCCCCCCCCCCCCCCCCCCCCCCCCCCGCTAGAGGGGTCCTCTCCGTCTGACAACTGTCCACCCGCATGTGCCGTGCGTGATGACGTTGTTGCAGGTTTGTGATAGAGGGGGCAGAACCACGTGTGCTCATGCCTGGCTATGTGCTCAATTTCTGTGGAGGTGGTGAATGATTTCGGCGGGCCTGTTTTTTGGATACCCGGTGTGAGCCCGGTCTATAGTGTATAGATAGATAGATAGAGAGAGAGAGAGAGAAAGAGAGAGAGAGAGAGAGAGAGAGAGAGAGAGAGAGAGAGAGAGAGAGAGAGAGAGAGAGAGA